GCTGATAATGTCTTCAGGAATTATCCAACTGCTGTAAACATTGTCTAGAGATCTCAAGAGTTCCAGAAATGCTTGGAAAAGTTGCAAAGGCTTCTCAGCAGGAAAGCAATTCCCCACTGTCTCCACAGGGGAATTTACTTCGTTAAAGCAGCAAAGTAAATACAAACAACGCTGAATTTTCTGTTAACATTATGAGTCTTGCGTAAAGGGCATGTACCACACTGATGACATTTGTTTCATGCAGCAGTGCATTTTATTTTTAGTTGTAGCTCTCCCCTGACCCAGGGATTTTTCTGGTAATTGGGCAGCTACTTTCAAAGAATAAAACCTTGCAAACTAACAGCTAGAATTGCTAGTGTCAATAGTTTGAAGGCTACATGTAGCTGGTGTATAGGTTTCTTTCACATTGAATGTGGTGGTTTTACTGTCTGTGGCAAGAGTTTATAGTTCCTGCTCTGAAATGGAAGGTAGACTTGATGATCTTTGAATAGGAGGAAAGGTTACTTTTCTTGTTGATTTTAACTTTAACGCTGATTTGATGCATCTAACTATTGTGGTGTTGACTTTTTGTCATGTTTTCAAAGCTTTTTAATGGCTATTTCCCAGGTCGGTACTCTTTGTTGTAAAATGAATTTATACAACAAATTGGTCAACCTTGATTCTAACAAGTTTACTCACCACAGGTCTCCAGAGAAAGCTGTTTTCTCTGACCAATTCCAGCATTTTTTTAAGTGTTCAAATCCCTTCAAAAAATATTTAGAATTTGTCTGTAGCCTGGTATTTAATTTTCATAGTGTGAACAGTACATTGTCTTTTCCTTTATGGTGACTTTTAGGTCTTGATAACAGAATTTCTCCATTTATCCACACAACATATTATAACAATACATCAGAATGAAATGAGACCCCGTACAAGGTTATCTGTTGGAACCTGTCAAACAAGCACGGGTAATCATTTCAGCTCATATTTCATGTTTTGACAACAGCGTTCTTAATTTGGATTAGATTTTAAGAACAGTTATCCAAATTCAATGGTCAAGCATAGCACTTAGGGCACCTAAGTAAAAACAGGCAGCTTGTTGCTTAATTTGTAAATGTATGCTGTCTGAGGAAATAGACAGAAATGTTATGGGTTTTTTTTCAGAGTTTAATAGAATATAGGTGTCCCTAAACTATTGTTTGATGTCTGATCAGCCAAATCTGAAACATTTTGTCAATGGAACTAAACTCTGGTGCTCGAGGACCAGTGTTCTGCATAAATGAGATGTTTCCCTGCTTCAACACTCATGGATAAAGTGAATGGCTCATTAAACAGGTCTCTGTAGAAAATGGTGACATGCTGAGAAGATAATTAAACCATTTGAGTCATGTGTACTGGAGCACGGACATATCTAGGAATTGTACTGCACTAGCCCATGAGGATCAGAATATGGGACCACCATCTAGCTCTACAATGCAATGTACTTTGTGCCAAGCTGTACGATGGTCTTTGCACTTCTGTTGTTGTGTGAAAGCTTTAAAAATGATGCAGAAAGACATACTCCCAAATATTTTTGTGTGAAAGTACATAATTTCCCCTAATACTATCACATCAAGTTTTTCTTGTATGAGGTGGCTGATTATGCATATATCAGTAGTGTCCAAAGTCAGTCCTCAAGAACGGTATCCTGCATGTTTTGGTTTTTTCCCTGATTCATCACACCCAAATAAAATGATGGCTCATTAGCAGGTCTCTGCAGAACTTCAACAATATGAGAAAGTACTAAGACCATTTAAATCAACTGTGTTGGAGCATAGAAATCTAATACTGGCCTTGGACATGGGCCCTTGAGGACTGGAGCTGGAACCCAAGCTCTACTTTTCCTAAAGGCAGGGTACGAATGACAGGTGTGTCCTCACACATGAAACTCATCAAATTCCAATCTGGATGTGTTTAAGAGCAGTAGATTCCCATGAGACAGATGCCAGATGGTAATCACTAGTTATTTCCTACATTCTTTAAGGCCCTTACACATTGTTGTCCACAATTATTGCTGTCAAAATCATGATTCTTGGTAGCATATCAACAATAAAGGCGAATTGTTGTAGCTCCCTTTTTTGTGTATGACCTTTATATCTGACATATTCAGTACAGCAGCCAGGTTCAATGCCTCTTGTGACTCTCTCACCAAACAGCCAGATGAACCAGGAAACGGCGTACTTGTTTGAGAATCTATTGTGAGGTCTACCTGTCGCTTCACACAAGCCAAATTTGTTTTGTGGCCCTGGTTGCAGATTCGGAAGAATAGAGTTGAAAGAAAAGCTTTGTGTGTTTGTGTATCCAGCAAAGCTTCCCCAAATCAGCACATATGTGAATCACAGACTCTTTGTAATAGCTTGCCTCTGTCAAGAAAGAGGATGTACCTGTCAAATCATTTAAATTACTACAACCATTGTTGAGATGGAAATGCTTGTATCAGCGCTTTGACGTTGTGGAACTTCTAAAGCCTTGAAAATATGCCTCACTGCGTTTTGGTGTCTCTGCGAAGCAGAATTATACTGTGTGAAATGTCTCTGTCCAAACTTGCAGAACTGAATCAAAATCAACACCCTTACGTTGAGCTTGGGTGTGCTTCACAAGCCACCCCCAGACTCAAGTGAACACACAAACATCAGCCCGCTTCGCATTTTTGTCTGTGAAAGCGAAGGATAGTTGTTTTACATACTAAAAACAAAAACACACTGGGCGTAGCTCGAATGTTTCTCTATCTGGAATTACACTCTGAGTGCCTGTTATGTATGTCACATTAATTATTAAATGGGGAAAAATGTAATCACTTATGTACAAGCAACTCAAAGATAAATTTTCATTACGTGAAAACAGAAGTAAACACTAAATCTTCCTCAATAGTCTGTGTACATTTTTAATAGCCTCTTTCACACACTTGACTGGCGATACCCAATATTTAGTTCTTGCAATACAACTCAAGTACTGCTATATTAATGTATATTAATGAACCGACTGGTTAGACTGTAGAAAGATGCAAACTGGAAAACAATGGCCTTCTGCACTTGCTTGTTGTCATTTACAATCAGGTTTGCATATAATTCCATTTGATTGTAGCATTTTCAACATAACTTACATATTGAATCATTGTTAAACCAGATTTTAAAATTGATTTAAAGAGCATTGCAAACATGTGTCCCCTGTTTTTTCCCTATGGCTCAAATAATTCATTCATAGATATTATATGTAAAATGAAAATTGTTTTGCCCACAAATTGTAAATCGACTGAATTGTTGTGGTATATATTTTTTTTTAGTAATATGACTCACAAACTAATCGCTTTCACTAACTCACACACTAATTCCCAAAGTAGATATTGATATGACTGTATCGACTTATGCGTGGGTTGCCTTTTTAAAGTAAAAATATGATCCTTTTAAAAAGAATTAAAATTCTGTTACAAGCCTGTTTGGTAAAATGTTGGAATGTTCTTTAAAAATGTGTAAACTAAAAAAATAAAGTAAGCCCCAACTTTAAAGGGCAAAGTGGAAGGGGTATTCTATGCGGAATCAATTCCATTGTGTTACAACGTAATTCCCAGTCTGTTTTTCCCAGACTGTTGCTGTGACCTATTTGTTCATGTTTGAGAAATCCTTGAATCTCCCAGCGTAGCCAGTCGAGGCTCAATTAAGCATACAATGATCTGCCCATTTACCCAAAACTCCACCTTGGAGCTTGAGTCCACCCCACAGTGCACCACTCCCCTTGCACCTCCACCACACAGTCATCCAAACTAGTGTCAGCAGGAATGACAAGTGTGTGTCTGCTGAACTTATCATACAAGCCATAACACACCTAAGAACAGTTGTAAATGACATTAATCAGTGCAATAAAGGAGCATTATTGTGATGATGTGCTGAACACGGGAGTGTCAGAAAGGGTTGGAGGTTTTTAAAGAGACAGACCAATTTCAAGGTGCCAGATATGGCTGTGATGCCAAGTAAAATTTCATTTTAGTTTTTTGTTTTATATATACAGAATTTTCTAACAACTGAAAGTAATANAGAACCCGACGGACCCACCGGTGGGTCCAGCTGCCACGTGACCTCGGCTCGCTCTGTAAACAAAGGCTCCACGAGCCTTTAATTTTTTTTATTTTTTATTATCCGCTAAAAGAGGCTTTAATCTTTCAAAACTATTCCGCATAAAGATTTTGCCCAAAATGTTAAGATTTTAGAGCTATTTAAAAACAGCTGATGAGATATAAAGGTCCTCGGGCGATGACGCAACTGCCCGGAAAACACCCGATCAGCTGATCATCACGGCCATTTTGTGGCTTCACGAGACAGTGGAAAGACTCTCAGAGCATGGCACAAGATGTCGGCTATGCAAAATCATGACGCATTTTCCGGAACCCGATCTAAATGTCTGCGCTCTCCATGCGCTAGCTACCCTATTCAAATGCGCTCAGTGAATGGTTCTTTTTGGGATAGGTTTCGATGGGCGTAGTTCGATGCATTCAAATAAGCTGTGTGCAGTGAGAATTCTCATTTCACTTGTGCCATCTGCGAATGAACAACGGTTTTTCGATTTGCTACGAGCGGAGCTAACTCTTGCAAAAATGAGCTCAACTGCAATGGCGCGGAGGAAGATGTCCGATGTGGAGGCGCTGGAAGAAATATTTCGGAGCGATGTTGAGCTGGAAGACTCTTCTGATAGCTGGTGGGATTCGGACGAGGAGGAAGAGGAAGACAGACTTGATCTCGGCTGACAGACTTGATCTCGGTGATGTGTAAGTTTCCCCCTGCAATTTCACTCAAAATATTTGATGTTTTGGTTCTATTTATTTATTTTTTTGATTATATGCTTGTAATAACGGCAGGAAGTAAAACCATGTGGTTATTTGTTTATTTATGTTTTACTAAAATATGTTTTATTTTACTAGTAAGGATTTCATGTTTACTTTGGTTCATTACTTTGTAATAAGCCTCTAATTCTTCAAATGGAGATCTAATTCTTCAAGCTCAGATGGAGCTGAACCTCCCCCCACCTCTCATGATTCTTCATCTTCTTTGAGGTAAGATGACCATTATGCCAAAAAAAATTGTTACAAAATAAGAAATGTGTTGTCACAGTGCAACATTGGTGTCTTTGCTTTATTTCATAAGACTGTGTGATGCAGCTTCATTTTCAGTATGTCATTTTTTGTCAAATTTAGTCTTCAATATATTTCATTCTGTTTCCACAGTGGAGATCGTGCAGGAGAGGCTGATGAAGACTATGTTCCACCAGTTCCTTTGAGGTCTTCAGGGCGTGGAAGAGCTCCAGCCCCAAAAAGAACAACAACCACACACAAAAAGGCTTTTGTGTGAAGGGTTTTTTGAAGGTTTTTTTTTTTTTTTTTTGGGTGGTGGTGGTGGTGGTGGATTTTCAAAATTGTTTATTTGTTCTTGGAAATTACTTCAAAAAGTATTTTTGACTGTTTTACCTTGTTTCAATAAAAGTTTTCTATTTGGAGTCAAAGAAAGAGCTTTCAGTTCATCATTATTATACATATTATACTGTGCACAATGGTACATTTTGCATATAAATGGGGTAAATGTCATGACCAATGGTTGTATTATATGTAGAAAATGTCATTAGATGGTAATAAGCTATTTAATTTTAACAAACCCCCAGTATTGATGTAAAAAACACATTTGGCACAGTTTGGTGACATTTTTGGATAAATGTGCCAAAATGGCCTCTCCGCCTAAGAAATTTCTCACTAATACCATTCTAAAATAAATATGATTCATCTGATTGAGTCCAAATTTGGTATACGTTTACACAACATTTAGATTTAAAAGTCTGTACTACTTTTTTGTGCTATAAATAATATTTTGGTAGTGTTTTGCAA